AGTAACTTATCTATCTACCTATTGCTCTTGCATGGGGAACAAAATGACAACTGACAATTGCAATTGCAACAACTCTCACAACATTTTATTTACAACAACACCCCCATTCATCCCTCCACAATTGCTTCCAAATCCCACTCAGGAACACCCCTTCTTCAGCAGCTTCCAGTTCTCCCACCTGCTATGCGGTGTACACGGGCAGAGCAGGGACATCAATGGCTATAACCTGGTGAGGGAGTCCAGGGCTCTGAACAACAACACCAGGATGGCCTGCTTCACTGGGGTGGCACTGGCTCATGGGGTTAGCCTTCAGGAATTCCCAGCAATTCAGCCAGATGCAGACGACGAGGAGGAGGTGGAAGAGGAGAAACTAGATGGGGTCTTTGAGGGGCAGCTGGCAACTGTGATTCGTGGGGATGTGGTGGATCAGGCAAAGCTTGATCAGGCAAAGGCCTTTTGCAACCTGATCCACGCCCACGGCCCCTGCCTGTTCTGGGACAAGAACTGGGGGGCTGTGCCTGAGTTCATATTCAAGGAAAATGCAGGGGCACTTGCAATTGCTGCAAGTGTGCCAGAGCACCTCAGGGCCAGGGCCAAGGGTGTTTAGGGATTCTCTGTTGTAAGCTGTTGTTTGCATGTTGTCTTCTTTGGATTTTTGTAAATAAAGTTGCTGGGCTTCCCAAGTCAAAACAGAATACTGCAAACAGAATACTGCAAACAGAATACTGCAAACAGAATACTGCAAACAGAATACTGCATGACTTAGGTCAGTCTCTCTAAGTTCAAGTCTGTCTTGGTGGACAGCATCCAATGATGTCTGTTGCAATGTTGGGCGGCAGCGCACGCTGTCCTGGCGTCGCCAGCGGCCAGAGGGCAAAGGCCGAGTCGACAGCGTCATCGTCAGTTCCGGCTGGCATACGTTCGCAGACAGCTCAATGTTTCCTTTTTGCGCTCTCTCGCTCCGATTTTTTGTGCCTAGATCATGTGCGAATCGTGCTGTGCTTTTGAATTGATGAATAGGACCATCAGACTACTAGTACTACCCGAAAGTACGGCGCAAGCATACAAACGCTGTGGTTGCAAATGGAGGCAGCGTCACCAGGTGAGCCAATGGCAGTGTTTGGCCCTCCTGTACACAATGCTCCGCGCATCTGGGTGCCAGCATCATGAACAGCGAAGCAGTGTGTCAGACATGTGCAGTAATATGTGTCAGTTAGTGCCATGACTTGAGCGCTTCGCAACAGCGCACAGCTGTCAAGTGCGCAAGGTTTGACCGCCTCGTTGACTGCATGCACCACATCCGGCGCTGCTGCTATAATTGTGGACCATTCTTGGAATGATTTCATGGGACCCATTTGCATGTTGAGCTCGCATACTTTACTTGAGGCATGACACCACTTCTTTTGTCCCCACGCACGACTAGGCACCAACATCAGCCACACGGGCACTTCCGTCCACCGACGCCCACCACGCTTCCATCACCTCCTGCCCAAACGCCGCCCCCAGCGCCGCCGCCGCCGGCTCGCGCCGCGGGAAGCGCCGCCACGCGGCGTCGAGCGCCGGCGACTCCGCCAGCAGCGCCACCCCAAGGCCGCCAGCCTCGGCCGGCGCCCCCTCCAGCAGCCACCCGCCCAGCGCCGCAGACGCCGCGGCGCCCGCAGCCCTCGCCGCATGGTCTGCACTGGTGGCTGCAGCGCCATGCCCGCCGGCACCAGCCGTGGCTGCGACGGGCTGCTCGACATGTGAGAGCGCCTCGATGCTTGCGGCGCGATCGGCTGCCAGCCACGCGCCCCAAATTGCAGTGCCGTGATCAATGACATCCAGCATCGCCACCCGGCCCTCTGTTCCGCTGTCGACCTTTGCCACAATCCAGGGTGCGGTTGAGGCAGGCGAGCCCAGCCAGAGGGGGATTTGGTGGCAGCGGTGGAAAAGCACACGATGGCGTGATCAAGGCTGAGGGCGCACCGCTGAGCGGGCAGCTAGCGGAAATCTCGCACTGTTCAGCCGGGCGGGTGTGCGCTGTGTGTGCTTGCTCATCTGACCACGGGCGTTTCATCCTCGGCGCCCTCCAAGCAAGTTGTTGGGCGTGGTGGACAGAGCGGCGGGACCCCACAGCATGCAACTGGCCGCGCCCCTCACATTGAAGAGGATCGCGGTGGGTGCAAACGCCCGCACGTGGAACGAGGGCGACACGAAGCGCTCGAACAGCGCGTTCTGCGCGCACGCCGCCTCCAGCCCCGCCCAGGACCAGTTGTTATCCGGGGCTGTGCCAGGCGCGGCGGCGGCGGGCTGCCGGGGCGGGGGTGCCGGCGGGGCGCTGGTGTAGTAGCGATCGATGTAGGCGGGGTAGAGGGCCTGCATATTGGCAACAAGCATGGATGGAGCGTTTTTGCACGCATTGCCTGTCACCTGGCTTGCCTGCATGCCTGTCGACGACGGGCGCGTCAGGCCCTGTTCAGTGCCAGCAAGGGTGCTTGCCGGAATGGCCAGCGGCGAAAGACGACAGCCTCTCATCGCTGTTCGTTGTCCAAGGCTTCCAGCCGCCTGCATCTGTCCACCAACCCAGGTCTGGCGTCCATGCCGCACCCCAGGACCGCTCATTATTGTGCAGCAGCGCACACGAGGCAGCGGTGGAAGACGCCCAGCGGCATTGGACGCCTAACCCAAAAACTATCCCGTCAGCCCACCAGGCTGACCCTAGGTTCCATGTTGAAGTAGAAGAGGATCGGGCGGCCCTCCCCCGCCGGCGCAAAGATCTCCAGCTCCAGGTGCGGCGTGAGCGGCGCGAGGCTGCGCGCGCCGCCCGCGAGCCAGAAGCTGCTCTTTGCGTAGATGCCATGGGGGCCGAGGCCAAAGGACTGGTGGGCCCAGTCAACGAGGGAGCTGCCCGCCAGGGTCTGCGGGGGCATGTCGACAGGGCAGGGGTGTATGCGGTCGATTGGCAGGTCTACCTGTTGACAAATGCGAGCGAAAGCTTTTTGGGGGCGGGGGCGCAGTGTGGGGGTGACTGGGGCATTGGTAGCCCAGACAGCGGGGTCGAGGGGAAGAAGGGCTCAGCACGTGCGCCCAGCCCAGCAGATTAAGCAGCGCTTGCTGTACCTGCGCATGCAACGTCATCAAGCCGTCCTTGCTGCGCCGCAGGAAGCGGCCCGCCGCATCCGAAAACGCTGTGCGCCTGGACCGCAACCGCTCGCCACCCGTATTGGCCAGCTGGCTGGTGACCATGCACAGGAGTTGAGCGTGCGCGTCGATCGCAAATGCTGTGTTGCCGCCGGGGTCTTCGCTCAACGCCCATCCAAACTCGGGCACAGACCGCAGGGAGTCTGTTGGCAATAGAGCATCCTGCGACCTGGCTCCTTCGCCAGCCGGGATCACGGCGGCACGCGCAACATAGAGCCGGCAGTGTCGGCAGCGGGGCAATGATTGGCTGCAACGAGATTGAGAGCTTGACACGAAGCCGTTGCTGCGCTGAAAAGCGATCATGGTCGCGCGGGCTGTCTAATTTCTCGCACAAGCCGAGGATAGGCGGTCGGAACTGCTCAAGCGTGCATCGTTTCAGATACATTCAGAACTTACACTTCATGGGCAGGTCCCTGCATCGGTGTGCACCCAAGGTTGCACGTCGCGAGGCCTCGTCATGCCGCCGTGGCTTCCGATGCTTCGCTGACCCAGCCTGCGGTCGAGTGATCACCATCATGGCAGACAGTTTGTCTTTGCCATTAGTAGCGTAGGCACGTTACGATAGACACAGCCCATGCACCCCAACGGCTGCTGCCTGTAGGATGCCACACAATGGCGGGGGCCATCCGTGCTGGCGGGCAATGCAGCAGTGGATAGGGCAAACTAGGTCCAGCAGATCGCCGTGCGGTGAAGCACCTTTTTGTCATCCTTCTTGAGTCCTTCGCGGATCCAGGCGCTCTTTAACACCTGAGGCCCTGTCAAAACAGCAACAAAGCTGCTGGTCAACAGGTCAAGAGTTGCTTTCTGAGCACCATGCAATGCTCCCCTGCCTGTATCTGCATAAAAAACTTGTAAGATATCAACCATGTATGCAATTTTCGAAGATCTGGCTGAGTTCGGCGTTGCAGGCATGGTGGATTGCAGCAGGGCAACAGCGCCAGCAGGCGTCAAATGCGTCGCCGGCAATAAGGGTTCCCCAGTGCGGGCGCATCACGGCAGGCGACCGCTCGTGTCCTACTACTATACTTGTCTCACGCCACCAGCCTCGCTACGGCCTCATTGGTTCGCCTTTCGCCTGTTCACTGTCCAGGCCGCCGTCTCGTGCTTTGTGCATCGACGCCTGCACCCTCTCCCTCTTTCCTTGCCGCTCAAGCGCCGACACGGCACAGTTTGGCAGCCTCTTGGGCTTGTAGAAACCCGGCCAGCCAAGATGGGTCGCATGCACTCCAAGGGCAAGGGTGAGCCTCCGCGGGCTTAATCATGCCCATGTGCAGTTCTTGAAGCAGTTAGAAGTGTTGCAAGGCGTGTGTGGGTAGCCTGGACGGCTCAGCTTGCCTTGGCGGGCGGGGTCTGATCCAGCACTCTGCTCGCCCACCCACCGCGGTTGTGTGCCTCCCGCGCCGTTCGCTTCGCAGGTATGAGCTCGTCGGCTCTGCCCTACCGCCGCAGCCCGCCCTCGTGGTGCAAGACCACCTCTCAGGAGGTGCGTTGTGTGCAGGAGCAGCGGCGCGCGGCAGCGCGGCGCAGGAGTGGCGGCTGAGCTGATGCAGCCCGCACGGTGGGCTCGTGCTGATATTTGCTGCCAAGCGAGCCGCGGCAGTCTAGAGACAAGTGCTCCGCATCACTGCGTGGGCTCCTGGCACGTCCGGTGCCCTGCAGCAGCAGTGCGCATCCTCTGCCAATCGCGCTCGCCGCGCTGAACACCTACAGGTGACCGAGCACATCTGCAAGCTGGCGCGCAAGGGCATGACCCCCTCGCAGATCGGCGTGCTGCTGCGCGACAGCCACGGCATCCCGCAGGTGCGGCCGGCTCTGGCGGCTGGCTGGCTCGAGGCTTCCGATGTTGACGCGCCGTTGATGTCATGGTCGAGCCGCCGGCTCTGCCCAACACCGCCAGAAGCGCTTCTGTCTGCTGCATCACCTCTGACTGGCACTCAACGCCCCATGTGTCTCCCTTGTATTGCATTACTGTAGGTGCGCTACGTCACCGGCACCAAGGTGCTGCGCCTGCTCAAGGGCCACGGCCTGGCGCCCGAGATCCCCGAGGACCTGTACCACCTCATCAAGAAGGTGCGGCACGCGATCCGGCCGCCATGTGCATACACATGCAGTATCTGGAACACAGCGCGTCGGCTTCACTCCGGGCAGGAGCGGCCGCAGTCTGTTACGCCAAAGCTGACTGGAAAGCCCATGGCTTGCCGCCGATGCGTCAGCGTTTGTGCAGCGTCACAGGAACAACCTCGCGGACATGTTGCCTGCCCTCTCCCCCTCACTGCGCGCCCCTCCAGGCCGTGTCCATGCGCAAGCACATGGAGCGCAACCGCAAGGACAAGGACTCCAAGTTCAGGCTCATCCTGATCGAGAGCCGCATCCACCGCCTGGCGCGCTACTACAAGGTCTGGCCGCACGCCCCACCACAGCCTGCCCCGCCTTGCCCTTTCCCGCACACTGTGGGCGCGCAGCTTACGTGCAGGCCTCTGTTTTCTGGCTCAACGCTGATCATCGCTGTACCCGCATCTCGCGTGCGCTGTTTCCTTCCACTGAACCCCCCCCCCATTTCTCCACCAACGTTGTAATTCTGAGCGCAGAAGGCCAAGAAGCTGCCGCCCACCTTCAAGTACGAGTCCGCCACTGCGTCCACCCTGGTGGCCTAGGCGCCCTCGAATGAGGGCCCTGGTGCCAGTGGTGTGGCTGCTCAGGGTTCTCCCCTGGGGCGCCCCGGTCGCGCGCGCATGCCGCACCCGCGAACCCTCGCGGGTGCGGCGTGCGTGCCGGCTGGGCGCTGCCAGCACCTGGCCGTGTGTGGGGAGACAAGCTCCGCTGTCCGCGCGGCCGCAGTCCCGCGGGTGCACACTGTCAGGTGGGTAGCGCGCGGCGCGCCACAGGGCGTCCGGCGCGGCCCGCTGCGCGCTGCTGTGTTCGCCTCTGGTGATCGCAGCGCGCGGGAGCAGCTGCGTCGGCGCCTGGCAGGGTTCATCCCCGGGCGGCTCCGGTGCTGCAAGCGCTGGGCCACTCCGGAGCCTGCCTGTGGCGCGCTGCGCGGCGCGAGTGCATGGCTGTAGTGGCGTGCCGACGTGCTGCAACGTGTTGCATGCTGCTGCTGAGTGGCTTTGTGTGCAGCGCTGTGCGCGGCATGTTCTACCGAGGCGACCCCTGTATGTGACTCGCTGTAACAGTGCAGACTTCATCGAAGGGCCTAAAGTTTCATGGGCCTGGGTCTGGGGAGCGGGTGCTCTACTGGAGTGCGATTCGGCAGCATCACTGAGGGCAGCCACCTGCGAAGGTTGCTGGCTGCCACAACTTTTCTGATCTGTCAACAATGCGGGCTGCGGGGTTTGACCGCACTGCGGCGTGGCTTTGCAAGTATCAACGCGCCGGGGTGTGAACAGAACAATTGACGACGCCATTGCAGGCGTCGAAAGTATCCAACGTTGCAGGCCGGGCAGCGGCCCCTGCAGTCCTGCACTCTGAAAGCAGGGGCGGCCTCTTGATTGGCGATACAGCAGCTTTTTTGTACGTCACTCAAGCGGGGTAGCACACTACCGCCTTCCACCAAGGCTTACGGCCAGCAGGTGCCGAACGAGCAAAGTGCAGCCGCCGATGCTGTGTTTGAAACAATCGTGAATGTACCTAGTGGCGCTGTTGGTGCAGCCTGGCTGCCTCCTGGGCTGGCTGGACTCTGTAAGCACAGCTTTACAAGTCGCATCACTCGTCCCAGGAGCTCGAGCAAGGTGGCCTTTTTCGCACAAGGGTTTGTGCTCCGCCCAGGACGAGCAGCTACCGACGGGTCCAACGCTCGCGCGCAACTTGCAATGGCCCTCATATGCATCAGTGCATCGCCGTTGCGCTTGCGTTAATCGGACGTACTCCTGCTATTGCGCGTGCTCCGTTCCAGAAAAGTAGCTGCAGATCACCTCGCTGCTGTGCAAAGCGACTCCTTTGATCGCCAGCAGCAGCATGCAAGTGCTGCGCCATTCGGGCCTGCGTCCTGCCCAGGCGCGTAGCGCAAGGCCGCAGGGCAAGCTCACGAGGTCTCTGCCGGTCCGCGTTGCGAGGTGGGGCGAGCTGGTTTGTGCCCCAACACGGCGCCACGCGTTGATTGGATCGCGATAGTTGTCTTTGAGGGAGTGTGCAGGCGATCCGAGAGGTTTTTCTGGAGATCACTCGATGACTGGGCTGCGTAGGGAGTTGCCGGCAGCACAGCGCGTCCCCAACCGCCTCATCAGTCGCTCATTGGTCAGTAACATCATTGTTTGCATTTTACGGGAGCTGCGGCGCGTCCGCCTCATCGAACACGACGCCGCTGGCCGCCTGATGCGCAACACAGTGCAACAGGCGGCCAGCCACCCCGATGGCTCAAACCCCGCCCGCCCCGCCGCCTCCACACGCACAGGTCCATGAAGGTGCAGGCCATTGCGGCGCCGGAGCGCGCAGCGGCCAAGCCCGCAAACCCCGTGGAGAGCGACATCCGCGGCAAGCTCAAGTACCTGCTCGGCAAGGTGGGCTGCCACACCAATGTTGTCCGCCCATACACAGGGGCTCAGATTGCACCCCTTACACAACACAAGGCCGAGACGCGCCCGGCCGCCGGACGGTGGCCAACCGCCCGGCGAGGAGGGGTCGCGGCGGCGGTACCGCGGCGCCATCTCTTGTAAAGGGGAGCTGCGACGCACACGCGACGCGCAGCCGCGCCCGGCAGCGCCCCCACCCGCCCCCGCGCCCTGCCGCCGGCCGCGGGCGCCCTTCGTCACCCTGCCGTGCAACCATTCCCTGCCTGCCAGATCAAGAACTATGATGCCGAGGACCTGTACCGGGGCACCGCCTGGAGCGTGCGCGAGCGGCTCATCGACGCGTTCGAGAACACCCAGGACCACTGGGCGTGAGCACACCGCTGCGCTGCGCCGCGCACGCCGCTGGCGCCGCCGCGCCGCGCGCGTATGCCGCCGTCGTGGGCACGGGTCGTTTGCCGCGGTGGCGGCGGGAGCGGCGGGAGCGGCACCTGCATCGGTCGTTGCTCACAACCGCATGCCCACATGCAGCGTGCCGCCCCTGCCCTACCAC